AGAAAAGTGAAATTGTGGAGTAAGGAAAGGAGACCTGGCAGAATGAGGAAACTATAGAGGTATAACTTTGCTGATTGTTGCATATAAGATTTTTGGTGCATTACTCTGCAACTGACTTGCACCTTATTAAGAAAGGGGGGTTGGTAAATACAAGTCTGGTTTTCAGAAAATGAGATCAACCATAGATCAAATATTTGCTCTAAGGCAGATTGATGACAAGCTGTAGATGTGCACTATGGTCACATGGTTATTGTTTATAGAGTTATAGGTTTAGGACTGCTTATGATGGAATGTTTTTTTTTTTCTCTTTTTCTTTATTTCCTCACTTTTCGTCTATACCGGCTGTTTCAGGGTCAGGGGAGACATGTTTGTCAGCTCAACCACCCCGCCTTTGTGATATAATCTACAAATTCACAGCATACCAGGATGATGGAAGAAGCATATATACCTCTTAAAATGGTAGTTCTTACAAAGATGGCAATGAGGCACTTCAACTGTCAAATAAGAATAAATGGAGAGATCTGTAAGCCCATGGGAATAAAAAAAATGGAGTGAGACAGGGAGATGCCCTAGTCCCTATGTTATTTAACCTTATGCTCGATAAAGTACAGATGGATAAAGAAATTATGGAAAATGACACAATTATGAAAAATCACTGCAATAATGATATATACAGATGATGTGTTGATTTTAGGAAGAAGAAAGCAAAGAATTGAGGAGGTGTAGTCTGCATCTAGACGGAAGGTAAGAAGGGCTGATCTGGAAATAAATTTTGATGAAACGAAACTAGTGATCGTAATAAAACCCATAGCGACTACTAAGCCATTCACAATAGCATATTGTGCCAAGCACACAGTCTGCAAGCTATCACTCAGCTTGGTCATCGTCCTCTTTCGCCATTTCTTCTGTACGGCGATGTTCCTGCTGCAATAACTTATTTCCATCCCAAGGAGAAGTAGATTGGGTATATAATTTTCTTACATACATATACCGTTAAAGAATGGATAATTTTCTTACTTATGAGATGAGGGAACTCGTTATCTGTTAAAACGTATAAGGTATAATGCAGTTTCCTCGGTCTCCAATACTCCTCAGCTGCAACATAGAATACCGATCTTCTGTCCATGTACAACGAGCTTCGCTTGAAAGCCCTCATGCCCTGTGCTCAGCTGTGATACCCAGTAGTCTGGTAAAACCCACGATTTGACAGCGGAAATATATTTTCTGAGAGTTGCCCTTTTAGGTCATCACAACTCACCGCCGCTTCCATTTTTCAAAGGGTGTCTCGTTTAGAATTTTCTTCCATTTGCTGAGTTCTTCGCGGATTCTCGTTCGTAGAATAGAGCCGCTGAATCTTCCCTCTTCATCCGGTGCCTAAGCTTGTCTTGCAAGATGGGGTGGCGAAGAATCCTCCTATGTTCAACATGACTAGTTATGTATACAAAATATTATACGACTAGTTACGTCTTACAAAAATATATTTCTACAATATTAATATAAAGAATATTTTAAACAAGAGAAACCAACTAACGAAAAAGACATGGATCATTTTAAGGACCTCGATCTACTAGAAATTAATATTCTGGGAGGAGAAATAGCTGCCGACATAAAAAAAGGTACCAGGGATGGATAGCCAAGCATCAGAGCTGTTTAAGAATGGAGAAAAATTTCCATATTTTAATTTTAATTGTATATTCCAACTATTTATTTAAAACTGTGTATTTTTAAAAATGTTTGTATTTCGAATCATTGGAAAAAGGAGAAATGTTATTCTCGCCCCCTCTCTTTTATTATTAAAGAGGCGAAAGTCCACCCCTCACCATCCCCAAGTCTGTGGCTATGTGCGTATGTGCTCTATGTCGAGTTTAAATCCAATTCCCTGAACTGGTTGGTATGCACCTTAACATATGTATGTCATGTATTATAATATAATACATATGCTTGGTAATTATTGTTAGTCGCTATGTTTTATTGTCATAAAATTCTGTTACTTGAAATATCCTAAGGTAACGAGTTTTGGAATAGATAGAGATTTGAAAGATTTGATATATTGTACATAAAATAACATAACAAAGACCAGTGTAAGAATAAAAAATAGTTACACTTGTTACCAACAATAGTCCATATTAATCATTATTTCTTGAATAGAAAAAACTGTTGACTCTAATTGTGATTTTGTAAAATCGCTTACATAAATATCATGCTATTTACGTTATTTAAATATCACAATTCATTAATTAATAAATTAGTCCTTATATAAAAATAATATGTAAGTTTGGACGGAAAATAGGCCTAACACAATCCTTCTAAGCCTGGACAAAAAGCCCTGATAAGATTATTAGTACAGTAACTTCGCAGCCGTGATTCAGATGCAAATTTCCGAATAGATAGATTGTTTGTGAAAGGAGGACAATCACTTTCCTAGTTTGCGGCAACGAAGTCTGATCTAGGTTCAAGTCAATCCGCAACTCAGAGAGACCCTTTTCTATAACTTAATCCACAACAACTTATTCGAAAATCAGTCAAGGGGTTAGTATAATATTAATCAGAGTATTGTTTGATATGACTTATGCTAGAGTAATATAAACCAATTTAACATTGTATAATTTAATTTGTCTTCACATTCGTTTGAATATTCCTTTTATTACATAATTTTGCTGGATGTCTTTTTATGTACAAACTTCCTTGCCTATTGCCAACACGGATTTGAAATTGGTGGTATATCAATTATCCCGACTTGAATTTATTTTTAAATCAATAGAAATTTAATACGTTATTTTTGTTATCTTGTGTTTCTACGGTTATCCTTTACCTTCGTTGGTTCCAATATCGCGATCATTTTCCGGTGGCCTTCCAGGAACTGGTCCTTTTCGTCACAGATTTAATCGGGCTGGCACATTTATAGATGTATATAAAACTTTTGTTGTACAGACTGTCTGCTGTTACTATGTGAGGGAACTCTCTGTTTGAATATAAGGTCTCGTTTTCCTCAACAGCTTGGTTCCCAGTTCCTCATAGACTATGCAGGCAATAGGATTTGCTCGGTGTAGCTGAAATATAAGAGAACCGATGCTCTATATGTAGCTATGAGATCTAGGTATCCACGTTAATCCATTTTGTAGCTAAACATCACCTTTCGGCGCTGGATAACATTATCATGATTACTAAACATATTTTGCAAGAACATCCGTTATATTCTAGGCTCCATTTTCCTATGCACTCATTGTTCCTATTATATTGATTATAAGTTATTTTTATTAATAGTTAATAGGGTAGTAAATCCGTGGCTCAACAATTCTTGCACGAGACAAAAACTACAGAACTTTAAACCAGCAAAAATATATCACTACCATTTGCCTTACTAGATTAGAAGTTTACCTTTTACTTTTATGTATGTACTCATTTATCTTCTGGAAAACCCATTCCAAACTTAATCGATTAAAAATTCGTACATTGAACGAAAGTTTTTTTTTACATTTTATAAATAATTAGAAGTTAAATTTTTACAATAAACTGAGAACCCTATTAGGCCATGCGGGTGGTTATAGCAGTGGATTATTACTCATGTCTGCGTAAAAATCCACTGCTGCTAGCAAGACATTCACAATTATAATTAGTGCTGAACAGATAGTCTGATCTTTTTATCCCCTAGCTTAGCCATCGTCACCTGTCCCTTCCTCTGTTCGGCGGCCTTCGTTGCACAGTTCCTTCAGTCTCTCCAAAGGAGAAATGGACTGGGTATATTATTTATTCTCCCATACATACATGAAATCCTTAAGTTTTGAATAACTTTTCTTAATAAAGTGCTGGAGAAACTCTCGGTTGAAACGTAAGGACAGTTCGCCACATCAGTTTAGCTCTCGGTGTCTCATAGGCGGTACTACTAGGCTTTGTTCGGTGGTCTCCAGAACACCACAAATGGAAAATCATAAGCCCTGAAGAAAAGTATAGTAATTGAGTAAAATTCGTATCTTTGAAAGTATGATGTGAATTTTTAATTACGTTTACACGTTTCAAAGCCCCCTGATTCGGCCATAGGTCTGTCTGTCTCTTTCTTTCCTCCCCCCCCTTATCTGTCCATTTACGGTTTATCTTAAAAGTCTATTCCAGTTTAGACTGAGTGCGGCTCCAACGGTTTTGACAAAACGCCTGAATTCTTGACCTAAAAGTCAATTCAATTTTTCATTTATAACACCCGACTAGAAAAAGTACGAAAAAAGTTCGCAAAACTCAAAAAGTAAGAATTTTATGGCAAAATCAACAATTAAAAGGTAATTAAACTCTTTAGAAGAAAAGAAAAGAAAAAAATCCTTTCGAATGGATTAGTATTAACAAAGATACGCATTTAAAAAAAAAAACTTTTTATTAATATTTCGAAGAATGCGAAAACTATACATCTTCTGGAACATTAGTGATGCTCAATTTAATTATCTGAACAACTTTGAAAACAAAACTAATAGATGAACAATAGTTTAGATAATGCAATTACAACATTTGAGTTGAAACCCAAAGAAAGTATGTGCCGGACGAGCCAGTTATACCTTTTTTTCAATAGCAGCACCTTAAAAATATTTTATGGAATGCTTGCTAACTGGATCGTATTAAACGAACCGATATGTTAAATTGATTTAATAAAATTTAAATAATGAAAACAAATAAAAATTAACATGAATGTATCTGAAAAATTCATACATCCTTTCTCTCCTACCTCCCAAAGGAACGGGCTTTACAAAATCACAATTTGATTTCAAAGTATAATTAGATTATTGGTCCTTATGGTATCGAAAATCAAACAAAATAATTAGAACGGAACAAATATTTCTGTTTCAGTTGTAGTAATGTAATTTTGGAATGAAGTCAGAAATATTAATAAGAATAAAAAAAACTTCCAAGCAGACTGATATTTCTTAGAAAAGTATAAACATAGACATCAATGTATAAATATAGGCATGTACACAAAAATACACTTTCTACACTTATAATTTTTATAAAGAACTTACTTAGTTTCGTCAATATAAACAGTTTCAAGTACTTTAACAGCAAACATAAGATTCTTGCTTAATAAATCGGCGGAAATTTCACCGTGTTGTAATTGTCGCAATAAAGCGCGTAACCTGAAACAATAAAGAAAACATTTATTAATAAAAAGGAAAGAAAAAAAAAAAAAGCTCAAAAGAGCGAAACTTATAAACCTAACGTATGAAGCATGTTAGTTATGTTTACATAATATCAATGAACTAAAATAATATTTCTATTTTACACTATTATATTCTGTTTCAATTAAGGAAAATGGCAATAATGATAAAAGATTTCAATCACGACACATTTAAAGAAAAAGTATTAAACTCAACAGTAATAAAGTAATACATGGAAGATAGAGAAAAAGATTAAATTAAAAATACAATTTTAATTGCAGTACATAGTATAATGTTGTATAATCATCACTGGAGATTATACTTAAAATTAAAATAAACGGATATTTATATTTGATCAACATTTAATGAGTCTTGCTTAAAAATAATATTTTATATTTATTAGTCGGATGAATGCATATTCTCAAAATATTTAAATCATATGAGATGATGCTTATTTCTAAAGTGAACCGAACCGTAATACCAAAAATATTGACTCCCAGTAAAAAGATATAATGAATCCTATGGTTTAATTTTTTTTCTCCAAAAATGAACCTAAATATATAAAAAAAAAAACGTCGTTTGAAAATAAATTTATTTCCGAAACAGTCCTCTTCTTTTTTTTTTCATGGAATGTACGCATTTCTTTAGTATTCTCAATAGTTTATAAAAAGCTTTTTTTAACTGTATTAATCATTAAACAAATTAATTAAAAATTAAAAATTAAAAACAAATTAATTTTATTAGATCATTATTGTAAAAAAAGTTAATTTTTTATAGTATACTTTTTAAACTCTACCCCCCTTCTTCTCCCCACCAAATCATTTGTTAACGCATGCAAGTGTTTGGCTTTGGCAACTTTCTTTAACATGGTTATAGTTTACGGAGGCAATAGTTTTCTAGAACATTTTTAAATGTCACTAAACACACTATCATAACTCGAATTAAAAATTTAATTCGATGACAGAAGCAGATGTTGAAATTCGCTACGCTTCATAGCCAGATAAAAAGTGTTTACTGTTTATCAGCTTGTAAAAGTTTTTATTAGTCTACATCATAGAAGTAACAGCTTTAAACTGATAAAACTTAGGGCATTTTATGTTCAGCAATTTCCCTCTAATCTCTCTGGGATTAACATATTAAATACATACATAATCCTCCTAGTTTCTACCAGACCGGACGCCTATATGGAATTTCTTAGTTTATCACTGGTACTATTTATACATATATTGCCACGTATCGAAATCTCACCATATTAAAAAACTGTCTAAGGGAAGCTGGTTGCATGATATTGCAAGGGAAGAGAGGATAGGAACCGACCTTGGTCTCCAAATCTAGGAGAAAAGAGAGGCAGACTTATGTATGAAAATGTGTACTGCTATGTATTGTAAAGACCGCCGGTGGAATAATTAGTTTAAAGGTATAAATAAATAAACATCAGAAGTGCTAACATCTGGCGGTTGGGTACCTGACTGAGGGTAACGACCCACGAGGACAACCTTTTGTAAGCGGTAATAAAAACCTTTAAGAACCACCGACCAAGACCGACAACTGAGTGTTTAAACAGGATCCCGAAAGACCTTTTCACACCTTCCACCAGAAATATGGAAATCCTGCTGTACCTGCTGCTTTACCTTGGCCTGGGGGAGAGGGCGTGGTCATCCCTTAGGCTGAGAATATTCAGCCAATCAGGAAAAGGACTACCAAAAGAGAGGGAGATGAAGAAAGGTGGGAAATAGAGAATTGGGACTGAACACTTCCTTTTGGGACTCAGATGAGGAGACTTCCTTTTGGGACTCAGAGGAGGAGACTTCTTTTTGGGACTCAGCGGAGAGAGCTTTCTTTTGGGACTCAGAGGAGGGAACTTCTCTTTGGGACTCAGCGAAGGAGACTTCAAGCGGGGGAGTCGAGGGGAGGAAGACGAAGACAGCCGGAGAGAGCAGATGGACGGACTAGACGCTGAAGGAGAGCAGAGACAGGGAATCCAGATATGACGGCTAGAAACACCTAGAAACACTATGAACGACCAGCTAAGTGGTAACAAGCATTTAGTTATACTAATGTAAATTTGTGTTGGCAACCATACATCATTAATTAATATAATCAATATAACACATGTAACTTTAATCAAACATCAAGCATTCTCCTCCAGTATGATTCTCAACTATTCATTATGTATATAGGTTTAGTTATTATTTTGTATATAGATGTTTTTGGTTTTATTTAAGCTTGTAAATATAATAGTTAGTAAACCAACGTAGTACTTTTACCATCTACCTTGCATGCCACCAGTTAGATATAGAACAAATAGTAAATTTAAAAACATGATACCTTTAGAAAGGAAATCCAATAAAAATTATATGGTTCAATCTAGGATACTATAGTAGGAGGTCTGTGGTGTCTTACCTTTAAATATCTAATTAATATATTTTTCTGTAGATCGGTTCCCTTCTGGAACCGATATGAATACAAATATAACTATTGAATACAAATAAATGCGGTTCCTGGAACCCCCTACTCGCCGTAGAAACGCGAGGCCAGGAACATAGCAGTACCTATGTCTAGTTGTTACCAAAGCTTTAGTAGGCTAGAATTATTAGGCAAAGGATAATTTGTTTATGTATGTTTAATGTGTTCTCTCTCTCTCTCTCTTTTAAATATGGATATGGGGCCGCAATGACCGTGCGGACTAAATTACTTGCAATTGGTAATCAATATTGAGCAATGTTTTAGTTAAGCATTGTAAGCACTTGGATGGGTGACTGTCCACCAATGGAAGAAGTCCAGGAAATGGAGCAAAGGTCCTCGTGCATCTTCTGACACTGACTAGATATAATCCATGGACTTGTCACTGATCTTGAACACCAGTGAGTCGGTGGGAAGTACACCAGTTTGGCCCTAAAGAGATCGGCTAAGGAGTTATGGATGGCCTCCCGCTGCACCATGTTATCCACGTCCAGGATATTATTTTATCAGAGGGGTTTGATACCGTAGGGAGGTGGCGGCTTCATCACCCGGCACTACAATCAACTTTGCCTAGGAACCTGATATACTGAATATTACGAGTTGGAGTCCCGGCTCTAGAGTATTTTTAACTCTAGCAATAATCCCCTACTCTCTCCCTTTTACGGGAAAATCCCTTATAGCCGAAAAGGCCCTATAGGAGAGAAAAAAAAAATCACTATTCATTATGTCATTCAGGACACTATCCATCTAGCTCGTGATGAGAGAGTTTTAAAGCGTAAATATTCTCGAGTCTAGCGACGCCAGTTGGAATCCAGCCGGTTCAGGTTGGAATTTATTTTGTGGAGTACCCAGGGAATGAGTCTCTACCTTTCACTATGGTTTAGATTTATTTGTAATTTTAGAACAGCCCCACTCCTGTATGACAGAAATAGCGAGGTTGGGGCTAGTGAAAAAAAAAAAAACTATTTTTTCTATGATTCTTTTACATTTGACATTATTTTATTTTTTAACTTGAATTGTTTTCATTGATCTCGCATGGTAATAAAAAATAATTCAATATCTCAGCATGCTGTTGTAAAATAGAGACAGAAAGCAGTGTAGCATTCTGACTTTTCTCTGATTGGCTTTGTTAGATTAGGAGGTTTCTTATTCAATTCCTTTTGTGTTGGATAATGTAGGCTGTCGCTACAGTTTTTAAGGTTGATTGATTTTCTTATTTAATGCATTACTGCAGTTTTGCTTATAAGATCATGTATTAATATAATAACTAATAAAAAAAAAGTATGAATGGTTCTCTTGCTCATTAAAACATTATATTGCCATTAAAACAGACCATAAAAAATTCAATCAGTTCAGTAATTATGGTAAAAAAACAACATAATATTTCATATGAATTTAAAGTCAAATCAGGATCAATGGAAATTTTTCCATCCAGCTGTTTAGAAAATTACATGACAAAAAAAATAATATGGCTTTATTTAAATATCTACTAAAAATAATTCAATTTGGTCTAAATGCTCAATTGTAATAAATCACTATTTTCCAGAGATCGGTTTGTATTTACTGGATTTTATTTATAGATTGGAGAACTTCTCCTTGCTATTTGCTCCGAATAATTGCAGTTGAGATGAAATACTTGCGTAGAGTTGTCTCAAAAACACACAGAGATAGAATCAAGAATGAAACTATAAGGGAAGAACTAAACATTCCTGCTATGAAGGAGACCTTGGTGAAGAGGCAGTTGGTATGGAGATGTTTGAAGGATGAGCCCTGATTGTGACCCATACAAATTTATAGAAGCAAGACCAGTAGAAACTAGACCTAGAGGAAGGGCCTAGACTTAGCTATATTTCCAAGTTGAGACAAACGAGAGGAAAGACACTGCAGGAGACGAAGACTCTTGAAAGCGAGAGAGCTAGATGGGGATCCTAGGTTGGATTAACTCAATTCAACGTCGAAAGGCACAAGAAGAAAGTTATAGAAGAAGAACTTGCAACGAACGGGCCTTCTAAATCCGACCCTAGAATAATATTTGATTTCAAACATAAAGTTTCCGACATTATTATTATTATTACTGCCATTCAAATTGTTTATATTCGGTGCGATTTTCCGTCAGTAGCTATGCCGTACGATATTCTAAATGAAAAGAGACAAAAAAAGTTTGCATTTTTTAAAGCCAATATTAATATTACGAATCTAACAAATAAAAAAATATTTTTTTGATGCATATCTTTCGAAAGCAGCCGATTCTAGGTCAAAAATATAGTTTTTTATAGAGAAAACCTCTAGTGCAATAGTAAATCCAATCCCAACTGCGTCTTTATGCACAATCAGATTTTATAAGTTGAATTACTTTTGGTATCTGTTGATTCTGGTAGAAATGAAAGGATAAGTGGCCATTAAGATACCCACTTCGTCAAAAAAAGTAAAATAAAAAGATTTTTAACTTTTATTTATTTTGGATTAATGATCAGAAACTCCATTTTATTTTTATAAAATAATTGTATTAAATTAAAAACTA